TATATATATATATATATATATATTTATTGCTTTGTAATCTCTATTTGTCTTGAACTTAATAATTGTTGGATTAATGTTTAATAATTGTGTTGCGTTTGATGATTGTAAGACTAATGTTTTCTATTTCTATTGTACTTGATGACTGGACTTATTTATCTTTCGTGATAATAGTATAATCTACCATTTAAATTTCTTCATAGACTTGTTAATAATTTTCTTGTATATTTGCCAAGATTATTGTGTAAAAATAGGAATGTTATTGTATATTTTCTAACATTATTGCGTAAATTAGGAATGTCAAAAAGGTCTACGGATGGTGATTCTACTAGGGGAAGAATCACATTTCTTTGGTGTGAAATTTTGCTATGGACGAGAAGTTAATTGAAGCTCTTCTGCATCAAGATGTGATTGGAAAACTAGTAAATTCCGTCTTTTCAACAACAGCTTACAATCAAATAGTGGTTGAACCCCAAGAAATATTTCCCGATAAGCCAATTGATAGAGATAATGTGATAACTCGTGTAAAGTATATGACGACAAAATGGGCAGCTTGCTATGACTTGTTTAAGAATGTGGGAAGCAGTTTTGCTTAGAATCGGAACACTAACATGTGGAGTACGGAATCTGAAGTATGGGATCGACTAATTCAAGTAATGAAAAATAACTAGCCACAATCATGAAACTTGTTGAAACACTGAAAAGAGTTTCAGACATGGCTGAAACACTCTTGAGTGTTTCAACCAGTGTTTTCAAATGCGCGCGCCTCATGCGCTTTACGATGCGGGACGGTGGCGATGCGTCCCACATCTGATGCAGCAGCGCCTTTTGCGCCTCGCGTACATCCGTACTTTGTGTAGGATGCATGTAGTGTATTTCCTCATATAGTTTTTTTTTGTTAACATTTCAATCGAGTCTTTATACTTGATATTCCATATCCCAAAAAACAAAATAAATCCATTGGGCTATTTTAATAACCTTCAATTGAGGACCATTACTAATCCTTAGTTTGGATATAAGTCTTGATTTAACATTTGATTTGAAAATTTATGAAATTTGCTACTATGTTGGGTGTTAGCATTAGAAATTAAGGCAATATATTGTGATTTTGTAGCAAGATATTATTTATCATGATATTTTTTATGTAAATTCTAAAAATATGTTCTTTCGCGCTTGATTACATATATTGAAATATTATGTGTGTGGTGTGCGCCTCGCATCACTCGGGCGCGCGCATCGTGTTACGCCTTGCGCATGTGCGCGTAAAGATGCTTTGCGCCTCGCATTGCGCCTCGCGCATTGAAAACACTGGTTTCAACCATGGCTGAAACTCTCTGAAACACTAAAAACTGAGTTTTAGCCATGGCTGAAACTCAATTTTTAGTGTTTCAGCCATGATTGAACACCCTTTTCAAAAATTTAGTTTAAATGTCCAATAGAACTTAAATCTGGATGTTTGTAACGTCACCTTAAAGTCTATACTACAGTGCTACATGATAACTTTGAAGTGTCTACGTATGTGTGAAGAGTTCAAGTTATACATATTGGTATTGGTATTCATGTGCTCCCAATTATTATCATCCTTCTTTAGTTCTTAAGTAAGAGTTGTGCTCCCAATATAAAAAATGCACAAGCACACTAGTGATCAAATTTGATTAGTTTTCAGAGTTGGAGAAAATATGAGGTATTTAAAGCACCAAACGTAACAGTGAGTCAAAAAAGGAATCAAGAGAGGGGGTTTGTAGGAAAATATGAGAGGTATTCAATAGTTTTCAGTGGTTGTCACATTGTCACATTGTTTCTCATCCACGCTTGCCAATCATTTTATTTGGAATTCATTTTCAGGCTCATCCAGAAGCTATTGAATGGAGGACCAATGCTATTCAAAATTACAGTAAATTACTTTTGCTTTTTGCAGCTGATAGAGCAACAGGAGAGCATGTCGAAATAGCGGCTGAGATACGAGGGAGAAGGCGGGCTTGTACTGAAACTAACAAGGTTGATGTTGATCTTACAATTGACGGCATTGATGAAATGGTTTCCAGGGAGGAAATCATCTTGGAGAGTTTTGATGGTAACCAAGAAGCAATTGACAAAGAAGACTTTCGTGGGGCTACAACGGAGACTAGGTCAACAGCAAATTCACTGAAGAAGAGCAACAAGTCAAAGGAGGATGCTAGTACTGAAAAAAATTATAATAGCATAGAAAAGTGGCTGAAGCAATGCTTGGAAGTGCTGAGATATTCAACAAGGCTCGGAAAAAGACTATAATAAAAGCGGATGATCTTTGGAGTCGTTTGGTTGAGATTGGGGTCGACGACGAACACATTGATGATGCATATACATTCCTACTTAATTCTTCAGAGAATCTAAGTGGAGTACTTGGATGTCCAAGAAAGAGGGAGAAGCAAATACTCGCGAGGATGATGCATAGGGCATCTATGTCACCCCCGCCTCATTATAAGCTTTCTACCTACTCATCTTTAATATTTTAGTTTTTCGCTTTTGATAGATGTTTTGGGTATTTGATGGCAATTGTAGCTTCTTGTCACTTTTTGGTTATTGTATGGCAATTACAAACTTGTTTCCGAATTATGGACGCTTATGGCAAACTTGGAATATTTGATGGTTATTGTAACTTCTTGTCACTTTTTAGTTATTGTATGGCGATTACAAACTTGTCGATTTATGGATGCTTATGACAAACTTGGAACATTGGTCGTTGACTTTTGTTAAATACATGTGGCAAAATTGGTTGGAGAATTTGTGTTTATGTTTTGATAAGATACATCGTGTGTTTTGTCAATTTGTGTTGTGTATTGTTTTGATAAGACCATGTGCTATTAGGATAAGAACAAAGCACTATCCCTTTGGTGTTTATAAATTTCATGAGTTTATGTTACATGAAAATTGAAAAGTTTAAAAAGAACAAACACTGTCCCTTTGGTGTTTATAAATTTCATGAGCTTTTATTTTCTTTTTTATCATTTATTATTTGGTAAAATGTTTTAATACCCTGCAAAGGTCATTTGTATAAATTTACATATATTTTCTTTCCTTCCCTTCCCTCCATTAGCACTCCCAAACAATTTACATTAATTTCACCTTCATTCACCTTACTCAACTCCCAAACAACATATTACAATTCCCCTTCCTTTCCTTACCTTCCTTTCACCTTCATTCACCTTACTCAACTCCCAAACAACATATTACAATTCCCCTTCCTTTCCTTACCTTCCCTTTCCCTTGTTTATCTTACTCAACTCCCAAACAACATATTACAATTCCCCTTCCTTTCCTTACCTTCCCTTTCCCTTGTTTATCTATCCTTCCCTTCCCTCAGTGAACTCCCAAACATAGCATTAGAAAAAATATTGCACATCGGACAGTCTAAAATCCAAATCTGAACTGGAAAAGATTGATTTGAATCCTCAAGTGGCTGGAATGCTCAATTTGATCTTACAAATTTATAAAGAATCTGTAGGTAGATTTTATAAGATTTAACCTCAGCTCGCTAAGAATCTACTACAGTAAAAACACAAAATGACTCAAATTATTCGGAGAAAAAAAATCAAGAAATTGGTTAGCTCATGGAGATCATCACCTGGCCGCCAAGGCTCCAGGAATGAGGCGAGCAGTAAAGGTTCCAGCGGGAGAGAATCCATCACCATCGCCGGGAAGCGAGTGCTCGAGGCTGAACTGGATCGACTTCGATTCAGAGGAGAAGGATGAGGAAGACGATTCGAGATCGGGCTCGCGACGGATTGGGGGAGAGAGGCTAGGGTTAGGGTTAGGGTTTAGGGAGTCGAGATCGGGAAGAGATCGATGTACGCCTTCTAACTCGTCGTCGTTTTGGATGAGCTCGTCGGATTCGAAGGCGGCGGAGGGGGAGGAGAGGAGGTAAGTGAAAAGGAGGAGGGAGAGAGGAGATGACTGCTCGTTGTAGCGAATGGGTTATTCATTTGGGGTGCGGGGGTATTTTGGTGCAAATTGGGTTAATTGCCCTAATGGGGTAAATTTACCAATTTAGATAATTTGAGTGGGATAAAATGAGGTAAAATGGGATAATGAGACAATTTGAGTAGGACAATTGGTATGACATCTACATCATATACAAAAATATACAACAATAAGAATGCACATCCACAGCAAATTGTTCCTAGGATTATCAAGCTCGAAAGAATGTCAAGTTCCTCCATGTATTCTTCTAATGATGATTTACATAAAAACTAAATTTAGATATTAAATCTCATCCACAAATTTAAAAAAAAAAAACAATCAATTACCCACCCACCCACACAGCCACCATGAAACCCGCCCACATCTCCTCCCTTCTCCTCCCCTCTGTAAAATCCCAGCAGGCCTACGAGGTGAACAACCCCCAGCTCAACTGCGGCTATAACTGCAACTCCCTCCCCTCCTGCCCCTCCTTCATCTCCTACCGCTCTCAGCCCCCTGCCATCGGAATCAAAGCCCTTAGCGGAAACATTTCGTCCACCAATGCCGAGCAAAGGCACAAAAACAAAGAACCATCGAACCCAATCGACCCACAACGAACCAGACCCAGTGAAATACAATGAAGCAAAACCCTCCTCTCCATCCCACCGCCCTCTCCACTACCACCAGAAACCACTCAAGGAGATGGAGAACCATGAGGCCATGCGAACAATGAGGCGACCTGCTCACAGATCGAACAAAGAAATCAGGACTCGGGGGGGAACCGGGCGTCGGACGAGTGGGGGAGGAGAGGGCCATAGCCGATGAGGGGAGCGTTCCGCGTTCGAGAAGTTAGGGGCGGCAGGCGAGGAGGGAGCAAAAATGGCCGAGGGGGCGAGGTGGAGGGAGAGGGCGAAGGAGAGGAGGAGGGAGGAAGGGGAGGAAGGATTAGGGGAAGGTTTACCCCCATCTTGTTCCAGCGACGAATTTGGAGTAATTTTGAGGGTGAGGCGTAAGGGGGCTTTATATAGTTGGGGAATTTTGGGGGAAAGTGGGGTATTTGTCCCACAATTACTCCAACAAACCAATAACACCACAAAGTTGACTCTAGTTCCAATTACACCAATGAATAACACCAAAAAATGTTGTTTCAAAAATTATCTCATTATCCCCAATTTTATACCAATGAATAACCCCCTAAGGGGGTGTTAGTCAATTGGGACATTTCCATGCAAAATGTGATAATTGTTAAAGTTGAATAATTTTTCGCTAGTGGGATATTTTAGTGGGATAAATAGGAACAATTTTGTGATGCAGGGTATTTTGATAAAATAACGTGGAATAAATTTTTATAATCATGAAATATATATATTTATGCATTTTGAACATATAAATGCTATTTATGTATTTTAAACTTACTATTATTGATTGATAACAAGAATGTTCTTTACTATTAAATAGCTTTTGGTTAGACTATAAGATATTAACAATTATTATTATAATGATGGTCTAATGATGGTGATAACCATATATGAAGCGGGATATTTTGATAAAATAACGTGGGATAAATTTTTATAATCATGAAATATATATTTATGCATTTTGAAGATATAAATGCTATTTATGTATTTTAAACTTACTATTATTGATTTATAATTGCTTACAAGAATATTCTTTACTATTAAATAACTTTTCGTTAGACTATAAGATAACAATTATTATTATAATGATGGTCTAATGATGGTGATAACCATAATAGGAAAGAAGTAAAGAAAAAAAATAAAAAATAACAAAATAAATATGAGTTCTAGTTTTTTATTACCTAGTTCCAAGCTAAAACTTGGAATAATTTGAGAGACTAGAACTCTCATTTTTATATAGAAAAATAAAAAAAGTGGGATAATTTTGTACCATCATCCCAATTTTAGTTTTGTTAGAGTTCTACTTGACTAACACTGTAAAATTTTGTTTTAGTTTTAGTTCTATGTGACTAACACAATAAAAATTTATCCCACAGGTTATCCCAGTTTTAATTTTAAGTTCTAGATGACTAACCCCCCTAAGAGAAATTGGTGAAATTTCTAAATGCACCAGAAAATTAAAATTTGATAAGTTACATAAAATTAAAAGTGTATCATAATCATCTACAAGTCCTTTCATCTTATGAGAAGATGATATGTGAACCCTTAATCTTACATTTACCTACAAATTCTCATCAAATTAACACTATCCATAATTAAAAAAAATCTAATAATCAAATACTTGGTAATGTTATCAAATTATAACTATCCAAAGCCAAAAAATCTCTTAATTATATATTTTAATATAGATATTAGGAAATTATGTAAAAAACCTCTCTACATATAATTATGGCATCCTCAACTATTTAATTTGAGAAACCCCTATCAAGTTTGAGTATATTGTAGATACCCCCAATAACTATGAAAATATGATATAGTGTCTTAAATTTTTCTCACTTTACGTCTTAACCCCTCTGAAATAATGGGTGTCTCAAAAACTCCCCCTCAACTATTTTAGTTTGAGAAACTTCCTCAAGATTGGGCATATTATAAATAACCCCTCAAGTTCGAAAATTCAAGAAATTCTCAAGAACTTTTCTCTCCCTTGAAACATGAAAAATTACTCTGATTTTTTAGGATAAAAGAACGAGAAGAGAAAGAGGGGGAAATATCATAAATTGAAAATAGTTGTTTTTTTATCAGTTAAGGTTTTTTGTTATTAAATGTGTTGATTTCTAAAAAGATATTTAGTTATTTTACATTTTAAAGTGATTTCGAGGGGTTTAGTGAGAAATGTGTGAAAAATTAGGGGGATTTTCTCCAATTTTAAAAATTGAGTGGGTTTATGTATAATATGCCCAAACTTTAGTGAATTTTTCTCAATTAAAATGTTGAGAGGGGTTTTCTAAGATATTTGCCTTATTTTCGGGATGCAAAATTATGCATGTGTAAAAATAATATTTAAAACTGATAAATTAGTCTTCCTCTTAAAATATTATTAATGAATTTATCATTTTTTTTGTTATTCATTGATTTGATATCATGTCTATACTAATTTTTATAAAAAGGGTTATTGGTTCACTCGTACCTCTTTAAAATATTAATAGAATACAATGCACTATAAAAAACATATAAAATATAAATATTTATAAAATAAAAAAATTCTAATGCAAAAATATATTCTCATCAATCCAAAAAAAATAAATTATTTACACAAATTAACCAATATATTATCTTGATTTCTCCTTGCTTTATGCATTTTTTCTAATAAGTAGATTGAAATTCTAATGAGTTCTTAAGATTATTTTAGGAATAAATATTTTGATTCTTAAGATATTTTATGAATATTTTAAAATCATATATGCTTTTTTAATTAAGTTAAAATTCTAACGCAAGCATCACAAAATTGAGATTTAAGTTTTGAGATTATTATGTTTAAATTAATATGTAGGCCTTATATCTCACGTAAGCGATGTTGTATTTGATTGTGTCATATTGCAAGGTTTAACTCGATGTGTCTTTTAGTTCATACCAAATCTCAAAAGTTTTTGTAATTAAATGTCAACGTAAGATGACCTTGCTAGCCAGCACAATCTTTACAGTTCCTACATCAAAGAGATATTTCTTGTGTAGTGATCATATATGGAGTGCCAACTTTTGTTATATCCATTTTTATTTTATAAATTTTATAAGAAAGGAGAAATATTTCGAAGAAGATACTGATGGTTAAATTATCTAATTTGAAATTTGAAATTTTGAACTATAAAATTACCATTTGCTCATTCGACAAGTCGACTTTTTCTTTTTCTCTTTTCCTCTTAGAATATTGTATATTATATATCATGTAAATAACGAGGGATATTGTAAAGGAGAGGCTGGTGGTTATCTAACTCTGAACTTTATATCTTGAGACAAAAGGCATCCTCCCTATTATTTTGAATTTCTTTTAATTTTTAAACTATTTGAAGAAAAATCTCCAATTCAGATTATCTAACCTTCGTATAATCTGTTTGTATGCTCGTATCCATAAAAAAATTGAGCACATATAAAAAAAGAAAAGAAGAAAATTTATTCAATTTAATTTCGAAGCACATGTATATGACTTAAGAAGAGACCTTTAGGGACTAAAATCAGATTAAAAAAAAGATTCATGCCCTTCAAAGTTAATGATGCAAATTCAGTTCCCACTACCCACTCTGTATTATTTATTCTACATGTAAGACTCATCCGTGCGAGCACGAGCCAAACTAGTTGTGGGATAATAGGGATTAATTGACTAGTTTTTTTAAAAGAAACCCTATTACAAAAAAAATTTACTTTTTAGGACAATTATATAAAAACCACCTTTTATTTTTCAATTTATTCATAAATCACCTTTAAAGTGAGTTTTTGTTGCAATCAACCATCTCCTAGTCAAATTTTCACTAAAATTCCAAAATTACCCTTGAAAAACTCACGGTCGAGTATGTGACTCATTTTTTTAGTGTTTAGGTATTGTGAGAATATAGGTCATATAGCTTGAACTTGAACTTGAGGGAGTGGTGTAGGCAGTAAAGTCTTAAGAGAGGTTGTAAATCTAAACACTTGAGGGAGGCGACACGTGAGAGACCAACACTTGATGTTGTAGTATGTGATTACATTATGAGTGATTGTGAAAGTTTTCGGTGAGCTAGAAAACCAAGATTGTAAGGTGTAAACATTTTCGGTTAGCGTTAAAAACCAGTTGAGATAGTGGAGTTCTCCTCAAGAGTGGGGAGTGGAGATGTAGGTTGGAAGGACCGAACTCCGTGATCATTTTCTTATGTTTTCATTGGTTATTTGCCCACTATCTTGTTTATATTATCTCATGGTTTATATCGCCCTTTGTTTATTTGTTATCCTTGCATATATCTCATTGTATATCATACTTGCTAGGATATAAGTGTTAATAAGTTTTAATTTAGCTTTAATATCAAATTAAATTAACATATACCCTATTCACTCCCCCCCCCCCCCCTGAGGGTAATTTCAGCAACCCCACTG